TGGTGGGGGGGGGGACAGCAATTATTGAATACATCCCTTTCTCTTTAGAAGAGCTATTTTAAAATAACACAAGCTCACACCAACTTTCTCAATTGCTTCCTACACTAGCACCTCTAACTCCTAACTAGCTAAGTGCTACTACTAATTCCTAGAAATTAATGTGAAGCACTAGCCTCATTGCTGTGGATAAAGGGCTGAAGATCTGAGTAAGGTAAAGGGAGGATTTTTTAAAATGATCCTGGAATAACTAGCATTATAAAAGACAAATGACAGGGCCTCCCTGGTAACACAAGGGGTTAAGTCTCAGCAATATGAAGCTATGGGTAGCCACTCAGTATCAGTTCGATTCCCAGCCAGGGAGCTGACCCACATGGTGCAGCAGACCTCTCCTGTCTCACCCACTGCTCCCCTCAGCAGTGTATTTCAGGAGGTTTGCCTGTTCTGCTCCCCAGAGCAGTGTATTTCAGGAGCTTTGCCTGTTCTGCTCCCCACTCTGTCTCTGATTCACTGGTGATCCTTTCACCACCACCACCCCTTTAGCCTACACCCCAGCTCTTGTATGTATAAATAAATAAATAAAAAGATAAACTAGGAAGGTATTGGCTTAGGACTTATCCTCCTGACTTTTTCTTCTTTTATAGTTGTCAGTCCTCAGGCAAAGATAAGCAATGGTAGCAGAGTGGGAAAAGACAGACATGAAAGTGCTTGGAAATGGGAGGAGTTATCTGTAGAATGCAGGGTTCTTAAAACTTTAAGTTACAAGCAAGAAGATTTCCTGGGGCTAGTCGTCATAACTCAGTTCACTGTAATAGAGATGGAAGAGTTTCTGTTCTCCCTGTTTATCCTTTAAGTCTCACACAACCTAAATCTAGCATTAACTAAGAAAATACTATGTACCAGTCATAACACCAAGGCCATAACCTATTGATGCAAATACTTGAAAAGCACAGGGATATTAGGGAAGAACATAGGCTTTGGAAGAACAAGTTTGATTTAGTCTTACAACCACTCATACTCCTCGATACCCAGCACTTGAAGATAACGCCTCCTTCCATAAACGTAAAGTTTTCACTTTTAAAATAGCAGAAGAATTCAGAGAACTTGTTCTATCTCTGGATGAACCTAGAGTTTATGGCTCCTTCCTAAACTTGAAAAGTAGTTTCTTAAGAACGTATACATTATCTCACACCAAAGACCCAGAAGAGCTTCTTAGGATGGCTTTTATCATTTTTCATAAACAGCAAATAATAAATCATTTTGAAGAATAAGGAAGGGAAAAGTTCTTTTTCAGCGTGATAATGTCACAATGGCAGATGCTGTTACAGCCCAGGATCCAGAGTGGCCTCCAGCCTGATCGGGGAGCCAGATGTCTCTTCCCAGAGCTACCCGGGTGGCAGTCCCAACGTGCTGCCCAAACAGTCATCTCTTCTTCTGCCGCTTCTGTTTTTCATCAGAGTCCTTTTCTACCCTTTCATCTTATCCCTAATGTTTCCTGCTTTGAAATAAGTGTCAGACATAATACACTTTAGAAATCCGACAGCAATATTTCAGAGGACAAGTAGGTTATTGAGACCTGAAAGAGCTTTTCTTTGGCTATTTCTGAGTCAAAACTTCAATACAGATGAAACAAAAGTTTTTTTTTTTTTCTAAAGGTTTTTAAGGGTTTCATTATTCTGGAGCAATGGAATTTCAATTTTCTTTTGATACCAAACAGACAAGCTTCCAACAGATCTCCCTTGCCAGGCCACCAAGTACACCCACGGTGCCCAATTTCTGACCAAAGAAAAGGTTAAACTCCTTGAAAGGCTGAAAGTGGTGATACCTTGGTAAATTAGGACACTAATCACATACTAATTAAGTATTTTCCAAATGAAAATGATCACTCAGTAAACCCGATTCTAGACAATTTTTTTTCAAAATCCATTCATCCACACAACAGCCAGTCTAGTGTCCACATGCTGAAAAATATCAACACACTGAGCAAGACAGTTTTGACAACCAACATCAGAATTCACCAAACCCTGCCAGCAGCCCTTGTGTGTTAGTTCTTCTGTGCCACGGTCAATAGCAATATAAAGTGGAAGCAGGTTGGTTCTCAGTTGCAAAGAGATATTGACTGTATTGCCAAAAGGAAAAGGAAAATTCTTGGAAGGGAGGAGGGAAGGATTTCTGTGCCACACTGGGCAGTTGCAAGTAGCCTTCTGCATAGAGAACAAGGGATAAGCAATCACGCCTGTAACAAGGCTGGGTACTTTGAAAGTCGGGGGTGATTTTCACATTATACTCCGAGCCTAGAGCAATGTTTCTCTGGACAATAATATTTGCTCTTGATTTGGCCAGCCAAACAACTTCACTCCCTGCTTCTTGATCACATGGCTCCTTAGTATCTGGCCTTCCCTGAAGCGATAGTCGTTAGGATTAAATAAGCAATTTAAAAACCAATCAATCATAAATCAGAATAAATCCAAATAGGCTAAATTCAGATTCAGCAGGCAAATGTTTTGCCTACATTCCCTTTGCAGTGCTCTGAATTCCAACTGTTTTATGTTCTTCCTTTGAAAGGGCACAGGGAGAAGAGGATTACCTCAGCCTGGCCAGTCGGGAATAATTGTGCCTTCCCAGAGGCTGGATGATAATTGACTCATTATTCACAGTCATAGCTCTCAAGTTGCCAAGCCACAAATACACACCCCTGGCACCTGAAAACGTGTGCCACAAGCCAAGATGAGGGGCACAATAGCAGGAAGTTGAGATTTCTGAAATATAAGGTAAGCACTTCCAGAGAGGAAAATGTAAAGAGAGTATAAAGTTGCTGAAAGTTTATTTTCAGAGGGAAAATATCTGAGTGGCAGTGGAGTGATACAACTCATTCAATCCAAAAGGTATA